TTTTTGAGACAGTCTTGCTCTGTGGCCCAGGCTAGAGTGCAGTGGTGTGATCTCAGCTCACTGCAACCTCCACCTCCCAGGTTCAAGGGATTCTCCTGCCTCAGCCTCTCGAGTAACTGGGATTACAGGAGCTCACCACCACGCCTGGCTAATTTTTGTATTTTTACTAGAGACAGGGTTTCACCATGTTGGCCAGGCTGGTCTCAAACTCCTGACCTCAAGTGATCTGCCTACCATGGCCTCCTAAAGTGCTGGAATTGCAAGCGTGAGCCACGACACCTGGCCTCCCAGTGAGCCTTCAAGAAGGTCCCCTGGGTGCTTGAAGCTAGTTCCTGAAGGGGCCTCTCTCCCTTCGACCACCCCCAGGAAGGTTCTCTTACTTTCTAGGGGACACGAGTCACCATCTCACATGAGATTGGCATCTTGATGTCCCCTTGATAAGAATCAGAGTGTGGAAGGAAAACCCCATTCAGACTGAAAATGCCAGGGCCAGCCAGCTCCCCCAGTAACTGGTTTGTTTTGATTTGAGAATCATATGGTAAAAAGAGTTTCCCTCTGATTTGGTCACCAAGGAGCTCAGAAATAAATCCGCAACGCACTCTGAGCAGCAGAACCCAGACATCACAGTATTTCCATCCCTCTTATTTGCCCCGACCTCTATGTTTTCCTTACTGTTTCAAAATCCTTTCTGGGAAGAAGCAGTATGGAAATACATTTACACATCGATGCATGCGTTCTATGTGAAATGCATCCCCGTGGCACTTTTCTCCTGCCTGCCCGCCCATCTAATGGGTACTGGGCAATTGGCGGCTCTGCTGTGCGGAGTAGGACTCTGTCTGCCCCTGCCTGAAGTAAAAGACTTGGGGACGCTGGGTGCCGCCCAGCCCTAGGATGTGTGTGTCCCACATCAGGCTCTCCAAGGGCTTCCAGATAGGACATCATTGAGCGTGCAGCAGGAGAAAGGGGCCCACCCCACACTTCCTTCCCTGTCTACTTCCCCAAATGAGGGCAGGTAGCCGGCCTGCTCCCCAGGCCAAAAAGGGTTCTCCATTGGCCAGATACAGTGGGCACTCGAACTCACCCCAGCAGTCCTTGGTAGCACAGCTGCTACCACCCTGTCTCCCACAAGCATGGCTGGGCACCCCCAGATCCATGATGGAACACACATAAAACCTTACCCAGGCACAATCGCAAGTACTGTGTCACCCACAGCCTCACGCACACCTGTTACCACCCTGTCTCCCACAAGAGGAGTCACACAGGCCTGCCATCTGTCCTCACACCCAGCACGGTCACACACCCCCTCCACAGAGCCAAGGAAGCACCCCCCAGCCAGGCCACCCAGACCCGCCGCCAACTCACTCAGAGATGTGTAGGAAGATGTCGGGGCCGCCGTCAGCTGGGGTAATGAAGCCATGGCCCTTGGATCGGCAGAAACATTTGCAGACTCCTTTGTAGACAGGGCCCTGTGAAGCCCGCACGGTCCTGACAGAAGAGGGGAGGGGAGGGTGAGGGGTCCCAAAAGCACTCCAGGACAGCCACCAGCTCCCCTGGACACACGAAACTCATTCCAGCCCCTGCCAACAGCTGTGCCCCAGGAAGCCCTGGCCAGGGCCACCATGTACAGTCACACAGGCTGCACAACTCTGGGAGAGTTGTTGTGTAATCTCAGACCTGTTACCCACCTGGAAAGAGGGAGTTGAACTAAAAGATCACTGAGCATCCCTCCAAAAGCTAATGATTAATTAATTACTTATAACATGAGCCTCCTCCACTCACAGAGCCGAAGACCTGCATCTGCCTGGCATCGTGTGGGTCCTTTGCAGCCCTGGCACTGTGCCCATTTTGCAACTGCAGAATTCAGTCTCACAGGGAAAGAGACTGTCATGTGTGGTTAAAGCCCAGTGATTCTGACCCCAGCAGTTGCCCACCCATTGCCACTCCCAGCTCATAACAGGTTCTTGTGGGCTGGGCAGTACCCTGAATTTAGAAGGCACCATCCCAGTTTCTCACCAGTCCAGCCCCAGGTCTGCCTATTTGACAGCCTGGGACACCGAGTTCCAAAAATGGCCAGAGACCCATCTGAGAAAGCGTCCCCAGCCAGCTCTAGACTCACGCTGAGAAGGTCCTCGTCCGGCGAGTGGGCAGTGGGCTCGGGACCACGTTGCCCCGCAGTGGGGATGGTGAACGCTCACGGGTCCGAGGGGTGTCCAGCAGCCCAACTGAAGCCTGATGGGTGGGGGGCTGTGGTGGGGGGGGAGGCTCAGATGACATGGCTGACCTGGAAAGAGATGAAGCTCTCAGTGACTCCTGCCTTGCAAGGTAGGGGCCCAGTGCTTACCCCTGTGTCCGGGTCTGAGAGTCCAGTATCTGAGGCCCGTTCCTCTCAGCCACCTCTGCACCACTGTCACCTTGTCTGCAAGGAAGCCTGGTGGGGTCAGGCACCTCCTCTGGGCTCCTGAAGCAGCCATGAGCCCCGCTCGATCATAGCTCTTCATGAAAATGCCACATCCTCCCCCATGACCAGGATGGCATCTGTCCCCTGTGTCCCCAGGACAAGGCATGGAGCCGGGCACATCGTGAACATTCATTCATGGGAGGGAAGGAAGCAGGCCACGATGGTGAGCAGAAAACCCAAAGCCAGGGGCCAGGCACAGTGGCTGCAATCCCAGCACTTTGGGGTGCCGAGAAGGGAGGATCACTTGAAGTCAGGAGTTGGACACCGGCCTGGCCAACACGGTGAAACCTCATCTCTAATACAAATAGAAAAATTAGCTGGGCATGGTGGCAGGCACCTATAATCCCATCTACTTGGAGACTGAGGCATGAGAATCGCTTGCACTCTGGAGGCCGAGGCTACAGTCAGCTGAGATTGTACTACTGCACTCCAGCCTGGACAACAGAGCAAGACTCTGTCTCGAAAAAAAACCAAAAGCCAGGGAGATTTTTTTTTTTTTTTTTTAAACAGTCTCACACTGTTGCCAGGCTGGAGTGCAGTGGCACGATCTCGGCTCACTGCAACCTCCACTTCCCAGGTTCCAGCGATTCTCTTGCCTCATCCTCCAGAGTAGCTGGGATTACAGGCACATGCCACTTTAATGCCAACCACCTAGATCCAAACTCAGCCACCCCACAGACCCTCCCTGATGCTATGAGCCAGACACCATAGGGAAGCAGGGGCGAAAACATGACCCTCAGGCAGCATCCACCTCTAGGAAATTGCAAAACACATCACAAAGAGCTCAGATGCCACATTTGGATCCCTGAAGAGCTGTCACAAGCCTGCACCCAGGACAGGGGAACCTGGTGGAGGGACCCAAATGACCCAAAGGGAAAGGGAGAATTTCCAAAGCTGCATCCTTCTCCATCAGGCCCAATGAATTTCCACAAAGCCCAGGTCGCCACCGCTGTTAATGACATCAAATTCCTTCTGTGACTCCTAGTATGCACCCAAACACGGGGTAAGACCCAACTGGAGGAAGGGCATTGCTTTGCTGCTGTGCTTTTGACAATTTTTCAAAAGCAGAGCACTCACTGTACACATTAACACTGAATACAAAAGTGTCGGCTCTAACTCGGGCTCAGCTTGAGGTTCAGAGAAAAGCAACTGCCCGGCAGTTGGAGGCCCTTGGGTAAGTCCTTTCCCCTCTCTCGACTCAGTTTCCACATCTAGAAAGTGGGGCAGCTGGGTGGGCATCACTCGGCACCCACACAGGGCTGGTGATGGGGGCACAAGATATATTAGGGAGGAGCCTAACTCAGTACACCACCCATGCCACACAGCCAGAAGCCAGGAGGGACAGCAGCAGCACTGGAGAGGTTTGACTCAGGTCCCACAGGGTTTTCAAATTTGGATTTGAAGTATGGGGCAGGAGCAGTGGCTCAGTAATCCCAGCACTTGGGGAGGCTGAGGCCAGAAGTTCGAAACCAGCCTGGCCAACATGGCAAAAACCCAGCTCTACTAAAAATTACCCAAGCCTGGTGGTGCACTCCTATAATCCCAGCTACTCTGGAGGCTACTCTAACCTTCGCTTAGAACCTTGGAAGCTAGGGTTGCAGTAAGCCGAGTTCATGCCCCTGCACTCCAGCCGAGGTAACAGAAACTCCATCTCAAAAAAAAAAAAAAAAAAACCCGGCTGGAGTGTAGGGACATCATCACAGTTCACTGTAGCCTCGACCTCCACGCCAATTTTTTTTTTTTTTTTTTTTTCAGAGACAGTATAGCTTTGTTGCCCAGGCTGATCTCAAACACCTAGGCTCAAGGGATCCTGCCACCTCTTCCTCCCCAAGTGCTAGAATTACAGGCATGAACCGCCACACCCAGCCTGAACTATCTTTTAAACCTCCCAGCACTTCTCAAAAGCCAGGTTTCCAGCTACTCATGGAAAGAACTGAAGCTCTGGTAACCTTCAACCTCAATTTGGCACCCAGGTGCCCTCATTTATAGGAGTCTTCGAGCTACATCACCCAAAAAAGCCCCACTACCACCTTCAACCATAGCCACCCCAGAACCAGGCCCGATTACTTAGAGGGAAAGGGCTGCCCCCTCCCTGAAAGAACAAAGGCTCTCCCCTCACATTCCTCCACCCTCCCCTGGCGAGACTCAGTTCTATAGGGCTGGGAAGCGGATGGCTGGCTGGCCTCCTGGAGGAAGTAGCATCCTACCTCCTGTCCCTTCTCTCAGCTGCAGCCGTGGCCAGGGAGGACCCTGAGTCCAGGGAGCCCCCACCGCAAAAAGGCCCCAGCTGCTGACCTTGGAGTCAGGGCCCCCGCATGACCCACCAACACAGGTCATAGTGTCCTAGAATGTTCAATGCCCAGAGTTCCGGGAGGAGGGGAGGGCCCTGTCCAGGCCTCCCAGGACAGCAGATGGGACAGTGGCCTGGTGACTCTACGGTGAGAGGCACTGCCCTGCCTTCTTGTATCCAAAGTCACCCTCCCTCCTGCAGTCAAGCAAAGCTGAATTCTTTTTTTTTTTTTTTTGAGATGGAGTCTCACTCTGTCACCCAGGCTGGAGTGCAATGGTACAATCTTGGCTCACTGCAACCTCCGCCTTCCGGGGTTCAGGCAGTTCTCCTGCCTCAGCCTCCCAAGTAGCTGGGGTTACAGGCAACTGCCACCATGCCCTGCTAAGAAAGCATAGCTGACTTCCAATCCTACCCCTTGCCTGCTGTGTGGTATTGGGCAAAGTTACTTAATCTCTCTGGGCCTCAGTTTCCACATCTGTAAAATGGGAATTATTATAGTCCCGACACTTGACGCCATCAAGCTTTAGTGAAAGCAAAATAATACAAAGCACTGGGTGCACCATCCGCCCAGGTCCAGTGAGCAGTAATTGTCAGCCATGACTGTTATCGCTGTCATCATAAAGTCACTCAACAGACACGTGCCCAATACCACGCCCTGTTCAGGGCCCTAGAGACAAAGAGCTGAACTTGAAGCCAGAGAACAAACAGATAAATAAACATAAACAGATCCTAAAAGGGCCATAAAGAAACAGAAGGGGACGGGGGAGAAGGGTGGGAGTACACACGCTAATCTAGGTGTCGGCAGGACTTTGAACAGCAAGAAAGGCGCAACCATTTGAAAAACGGAGGGATGCTGTTCCAGGTATGAGGGAACAGCCTGTGCAAAGGCCCTGACATTGCCAAGGGCCTGGGTGGGATTGAGGCCAGCAGGGAAACCACGTGGTGGGTGGGGGACTAGAACAGGAGACAGGAGGCAGGAGAGGAGGTGGAAAAGGCAGAGCCCACTCAGGAATCAAGGTGCATCATCATCATCATCATTGTCACCGTCACCATCATCCTCTTACTGTCTTCCATTTGTCACCCCCATTTGCCTGTCTGCACACCCCTAATTATGCTCATCTTCCCGTGTGAATGGCACCGATCCAAAATGGGGGCCCCCTTCTTTCTCCACCCCAGCCGCGCCCCATGCTTCAGAGATGCCAATGGAAGCCCATGGCCTGAAGGGATGAGGAGTCTGAGGGCAGCACAGGGTCTCTCTAAGTCCCAAGGGCCCAGCACAGACACTGGCAGAGAGCACAGTCTCAAGACAGTCCAGGAATGGCCCCAAGGCCGGGCACGGTGGCCCAGCACTTTGGGAGGCAGAGGTGGGTGATCACAAGATCAGGTGATGGAGACCATCTCTATTAAAAATACAAAAAATTAATTAGCCAGGCATGGTGGCACGCAACTGTAGTAGCAGCTACTTGGGAGTCTAGGGCAGGAGAATCCTTTGAACCCAGGAGGCAGAAGTTGCAGTGAACCAAGATCACGCCACTGCACTCCAGCCTGGGCAACAGAGCGAGACTACGTCTCAAA